ATAAAACCGCGTAATTACTTGACAGCGTTGATCAAATAGCATAACAGTCATGTATTCGAAATAAGCAAAAAAAGTTCTGTGGCATTCATTCTTGTATATAATCATAGTAGTGGTACTGTTCTGATTTAAACAGGTCGAAAGTCGTAACTAGAAGAATTTAAAATTAATTTTATTCAAAGGAAAGTGGAAGCAAGTGTAATAATCACGGTATTAACCATTAGCAAAAGGTTTTTTAACATATTATAATGTTTAAATTCTAATACTACGAACGCGGGGTACCATAATGCATAAAAGCGGAACTTTAAAATTTTACATCACGTTGTAACCGCTAGATGGCCCTACTCTTCACTTTCTCGCCTTGAGGCTCCATTCCTATTCATTTTTCATGCAGCATCGATGAAATTTTGTTGTTAAAATGACGATTGCTTGTAATTGAAAATAGATGATAGAAAGCTTTAACAAGAGCTTGTGAAAGTTATTTAGATGCACATATTGGATGAATTGTGACAGTATTATTGTTTTATGTTCAAATATCTGGTAGGTATATGTTTGCTTGTTTACACTCATGTTGCAGTTGCGGTTCTAACGGGAAGAAACAGGGGAAAACATACCCCCTTCCTCTAGGACCTCTATGTTTTATTGCAGTATTGTGGAAAATGTGTGAGAAAATTCGAATTACATAACATAAAAATGAACTTTTTGAACTTTTCCCTCTCTTTCACCCCCTTAGAACTGTTTGTGCATTCTGTATGTTGATGCAAAGTTTGTTAATACAATTTCCTCATCTCGAATGTTTTGTACTGGGATAAATTTCTATGAGAACAATATTGTTTGATTATATTTAATAGAATCTTCGTGTAGCTTCTGAAACATCTTTATTACCACCGAAGTTGAATTATTTTATAAACAAACTCGCTACCTATATAGTCTTTATATAAGTCTTACCAAATTAGTCCAAGTTTACTCTTAGATATTTAATAAAGGGTGACCTTAACATACACCATAATGATCGCTTTTTCGTAAAGTTTCAAACACTGTCACTCGTTATTATCCTAAAAGAATTTATAAGTAGGAAAACATTGTTGTTACAAGTTGCTTCGGTTTAATATGTTGCCACATTTTCTTTCTCTTCTATCTATAATTTATCAGGCGTAAATATCAATTTGTAAATGTTGGCTTCTTTTCATCTTCCCTTTTTTATAATGGCCTTGTTTGCCTAGTAATTTGCATCCCTCTCGAAAGGTTAAACTTGTTACTTACTTTTTATACCAACTATAAAAAGATTACAATTTGTTAAGACTGTTTTAATGTTATAGCCGGAATATGAAACGACAAATAAAATATGTGTTCCTTGTTCGTTTCAGAACCTGGTGTATTTTAGTGGATATAAAGGGATTAATCTTGAAAAAAAAAATAATGTGGCACAGCTACGATTATATTGAAGAAAGAAAATTTCAAACGATTTGTTTAACAGAGGAAGTTATATATATANACAGAGTAGGTATATGCTTACGAACATCATTAATCATATTTTAGCATTAATTTTTTATCAATAAAAGCTGGTACCATCCGTTCAAATTTGGACGGGTTGTACTGGTTATGGATTTTTATGTATAGTCGGGACGTTCGAAATTGGCTTAGCCTGCAATAAAACTGTCGCATTTACTTTCATCGTTCAATTTACTAATTAGACTAGAGCGGTTGCTGAAACGACGCCTATTTTTACTGAGACGTTATTGGTAATATGTTAAACATAGAAAAGAGATGTCAGATAGGAATTGCAGCGGATACTAATAATGAAAAACGAATAACATTGCGTCGATTATTGTGTAATAGAAAGAGATGCAAACAAGCAGAATTTGAACATGTTGCAAGCATCGGACTTTAAAGAAAGTTCAACATTCTCAGGAATTTAGGAAAGTAAAGACGCTTGTTTAAAGATATAATTGTAACCAGGCAGTTATAAAGCCGACCCTGATTTTTTGCGTACATAGGGAACCTCTACCCGTTGCACCACATACTGTTATTTATCCCTTTTCATTTTGTCTGTACTACTCATGAAGCATTTCCTAACTTAAAAAGGGCGTGTTCAAAACGCAGTAAATTATTACAGTCCCAAGTGGAAACAAGAAAGAAGATGCTTCCATTCTCACAGATAATTTATTGTGGACTTTGCCAATTTGGATCATCTCAACTATACCTTTATACTGCTTACAGATTTTTATGTAGTAATAAACATTTAAGGATGTTTGGGAGGTACAATCGGAGACAAGAGTACATAAAATTAGAAATTCGTGATTAATTAGGTTTTGCAGCATATCGTGAGTTAAATAAATACTATCTATACACAAGAAAAAGTATACGGTTTGAGAGAAAATTTGGAATTGACCAAAAACTTTGAATAAAATAAGATATAACGAATAATATGGAAAATTTTTAACTGACTTTTGGCAGTGAATATGCCTTGATTTCAACTTCGAAACAAAAAAATATTTAGTTTCAATCTTTATTAATAATGAGCGTAAAACTTTTTAATATGTTTAAATAATAATTAAAACTTTAAAATTGCATTTATTTCAGACAATTATAAATATTATCATTATATTATCAAGTAAAAACGAGATTTTCAGCTAATTTTTCATTTTTTCCTCGATAACCATTTAGTGAATTTGAATAACCTTACGCTAAAGTGATTCTCCAGAGTTCAAGTTACTTATTATAAAAGTTTGAAATTTCTGGTAGCTTTTTTTCTGTTAATAAAAATAAATTTAATCTGTTCGGTTAACGAATCTCCATAAAATGACGTGTAAAATTACAATTTTTTAAAATTTCAATAACTTTTTAACGGTTTAGTGAATCGATTTGTAATTTTTACAGGAGTTTTAGAATTGAATGAGGAACGTTCTTCCAAATTTTTATTTGTCTCGTAGCATTTTGACATACCTCCCAAACATCGTTTAGAATGTTGTATCGTTAAATTTTTTTTTTTTTTGAAAAAACTTGAATCGCAGATTACAAAAAAAAGAAATTAAAACAATCCTTTGCATTTTTCAAATGTAATCATGTCTTTTTTAACAACTCCACCACCGAAAGTTCGACAATTTAATCTTTTCTTCGTGTCTCCGTTATCCGTCTTTTTTTTTAGAGGACATGGACGATAGATTGACGTTTCGAACAACCTTTTAACACTGTCGTCAATAAATTACTGTCCGATTTCTGCGTCTTCTTTTCCTTGCGTTTTGTTCACAATCAAGTAGAGATTAACTTTACAAATATGGTAATCATTGCTCAGACCTCTTTGACCTTAGTGAGTCTCAAAAGTAAACTTGGAGCTTTCGATTTTAATAGGACCATTTGTCGTTTTAATACTTTATAAAGTTACTTTGCGGAGGCCCATGTTAACGATCTGTGTAAGTAAATTATTCATAAACAGAAGTCTTAGAATCGAAACTATAATCTGTTTGTATCAAAAATAACATGAAGTAAATCGATTCAAATTTTTCATACTGCATATTTTTTCAAGAATGATTTTTCTTCTACTGAGAAGTTAATATTTAGTTATTGAACAATAATTTTAAGGCTAAATTGAATCGAATAAACTGAAAACTGTCCAATTCAAATATTTATTTTGCATTAGATTTAGTTTAGGTTTTTCAGGTATTTAGATTTCTAATTAAAATTTTTATAAAATGCGTAATCTGTTAGGTACAGACAGAACGATCTTCTCGAAATAAAATTTCATCATACATAAACTTGTAATCCATTTTATAAACTAAAGTATAATAGATGTCTATAGTTGGGGCGATCAAAATTGGCAAAGTTCGCAATAAATTGTCTGTGAGAATGGACGGATCTTCTTTGTTATTTCCACTTGGGACTGTAGTCGTTTGTTGCGTTTTGAACATGTCCTTGTTAAGTCAGGAAATGCTTCATGAGTAATACAGACAAAGTGAAAAGAGATGCAACATGCTCAATTTATACTTGTCGGCATCTCTTTCTTCGTTACACATTAATAGGTGTAATGTTATTTCTTTTTCTTTATTAGTGTCCGCTGCAATTCCTATCTGACATCTCTTTTCTATATTTACGATATTCCCTATTCCTAACGTCTGTCGTGAGTAAAAGTAGGCGTTCTGTCAGCAACCGCTCTAATGTAGTTAGTAAATTGAAATAAGAAAGTAAATGCGACAGTTTTATTATGCCAATTTTGAACATCCCAACTATATCTTACTTATTGTGGATGAAATTTTGAGAAATACCCTTGTGTACCAGAAAATGTGGTAGATATTGAATTGAGTGACATACATTACATGATACATATAAAATGTAAATAATTCCGGAGGTGTTTCAATATATTTATGAAAATTACAATCCATGGGTTCGTTTTAAGTAAACCTACAAAATATCCGGGAATTTTTTTAAAGAAAAATTCACCAAAGTACGAAATTTTTTTTTACAATTGATTTGAAGAGTTGGATATGATCCATAATCAATAATCACAGCATTAACAATCTTTTTCGAATTTCTNTGTAAAGCAATTTGGAAATTTTTAGCAAAATCAATGGTTGATAACATTTATTTTAAATTTTATATTATTTTACATTATTTAGTAATTTAATAAGAACAAATAAATGCCTTAAACGTTTGAAAAGAATGAGTCTCTCTCTCTCTGCATTTTTTGGCAATTATACAAATAGTAAAAAAGGGATGATATTAATATGTTGAAGGAGGAATACTATTTATATATCATATGAAAAAGGGAGTCCTAAATATATCAACAGTCTTTCAAATACTCTTCCTCTTAAATTAGATAGATAAGAATTGGATATGCATGTTTGGGTAAAATATCAAAAAATGTATTTAAATACAAATACACCTATTTACTTTAGAAGTATTTGAACTTCTTTTTACTTTTCTGATAAGTGTTACCCTGTAATAGTTAATACCTATAATAATAATTTATTTGAAAAAAATATGACAATATTTTTTAAAATTCTTACCTAACATTTTGATAACTTTACGTGTTGATTTTCCTTGCCTTTGTGAAGAAATTCCGACTTTTTTAGAATTTGTATTCATCATCCTACCCTCTTCATTTTCCGATGAATTGCGTCTAACGAAACTTGAATTTCTCAACTTGAGTCCGATCAGAATGTACAGGACCGTGATGAGTGTCATTGGGGCCACAAAAAACACCAAAGTTGACACCTCGAAAGAGTATTTCATTAGCGGATACAAAATTTGACACATTTCACTTTCCGGATCATTTTCGATAAAGTTTTGAACACCGAACTGCATGGCCTGTGGTATCGCCAGAGCAAATGACACAATCCATATAATCACTATCGCTTTCACCGCTCTGGAAAGCTTGGAAATTGTGTGCGAGAAGAAAGGGTGGCATATCGCCAAGTAACGTTCAACAGTGAACGTCATGATGGTCAAGACTGTAGCGTTTGCCGACGTTTCGGAACATAATCCGCGGATGATGCAAAAAGTGTGACCGAAAATGTACGGATATCTAGACCAAATCGAATACACTTCTTGGGGAAGTCCCGTGAATAAAAGTAACAAGTCCGAAATTGCCAAACTGAACAAGTAATAGTTTGTTGCCGTGTGCATTTTTTTATTTCTCGCAACCACTAAACAGGTGCTTATATTGCCGACAATCCCGCCAATAAATATGATCACGTAGATTATTGTAATCGGGATAACCACGGCTAAACTGTCCCGTTTTGGACCGAACGGCGACGATGTTAATTCTCCTGAAACGTTGTAATCCATTAAAGTTTCATTTTGTCCAAGTCTGTTCACAAGATACGATGTGGTGGAGTCACTTTTGTTTGTAAAATTGTCATCGAAAGACGTTCGATATTCATGGTTTGTACTGGACATTTTTCATTTTTGTTACCAAATACTACTAAACATAGGTACTTGTGGTAGGTGAAAATTAATTGTTTATACTTATATGTGATGTAGGTGTTGCGGCGCGAAAGTTTGGCGGATCTCTGATGTTAGCAAACTCGATTTTCTTCACAATTCTTGCGATGAGCGCCCGAATTCGCGCATGCGATAGGCGACAGAGTTTTATTGGAGCCCGTTAGAAACTTTAACTGCTTTTTATTCAGTTGGCATGTTATTAACGATAACTAGATAGGTATTAGGATAAGACATACATTTAATAATCAACGTTCGATTTTCGCATCGATAATTCTTATTTTCAAACGTATCATTTCTAAGGAAATACTTTGGAATCGGAAAGTAATTTTTACGTAGGAGTCAGAAACATTAAAATAAAGGATATTTGTTTAGTTAGGACACTTGTTAAATACTTTTGTATAAAAGGAATCTAATTTTGTTGTATAATAATTTTTACATTTCAAGACTCTAATTTTGCCAATAAACTAACAATAGTTTATTGTATTTGTTACAGTGCGACGTTTCGATCGTCATTATCAGGCTTAACGAATATCACACTGTTCCTATAAGGTCGACTAAAATAATTATCATAATTATTACATGGTAAGCGTATTCTGTGAACAAGAATCAATATGATTATGATATTGATTCTGATGATGACCGAAGTTGACGGTCGAAACGTCGCACTGTAATAAACAAAAAGTTCACTCCAGAACTCATCATCATCATCATTATCATAAGGTCGTCAGTCCTAAGACTGGTTGGACACGCACCTCCACTCTTTCCTATCCTGCACTAATCTTCGCATTTCCCTAAAGATAGAACAACCCATATCCTTAACTATTTGCGAACAGTAATCCAATCTAGGTCTACCTCTACCCCTCCTAACATCCATTTCTACCTATAATATGTCTCTGACTAGACCTTAGGTTTGAGAAGGTGTCCTACTAACCTTTCTCACCTATTTCTTATCGACTTCCATAGAGTCCCCTGTTCTCTTACTCTTTCTAATAAGTCTTCATTTCTAACTTTCTCTATCCACGGTATCCTTATCATTCGCCGTGACGTATTAGAAACAGCTTTTCCTTAAGAAACGGAAATTTTACAAAGCTCCTGCGGAAGTTGTTTGTGATAAAAATGCTTCGGCAAACATTACATAAATTTTAAAGTTGACGTTAATGCTTAATCTATTATGTTGTATGTGTGTATGTAAACACACGTCTGCTAGATGTATATACTACTGTAAAAAGAAAAGTGTTAATGTGCACTTTGGTGGAAACCATTCGTGTATTGTTTTCTGTCAATTTATTTATGTCAATATTCAATAATGGTGCTTTTAATATAATAACTGTTTTCCGGCGATATACTAGAATGTAAGTCATAAAAAGTACGAAGTCTTTAAAATATTTTTTTTCGTCATTATCTAGGTTAGAATTTACAGGGCGGATGCCTCATGTAGCTTGTGGGCTTCGTGCGGTAAATAACTGGTAAGTTAACAGAAGGATTCCCCCGCAAATTCTTGATTAAAATCCCCACAAAGGTAATCAGTGATACCGAAGTAAAGTATGTCTTATGAGTTTTTCATAAGGGTTGTAATCGGCAGATCCAGGGCCGGACTGGCCCGGGGTGTAGGTATGCAAATGCAAATCGGACCAAATGACTCAAAAAATGTGAAAAAAAATTTTAAAACCAGAGCAAAGACCGAGGCAAAGACAAACGTAAATTTCCTCCTAACTTCCTAAATTTATTTAAAAACGAGTGCTGTTAAAATTTGTGCATTTTCCCATCTAAACCAGACCATTTGGTTACATCGCACCCCGGGCCAAAATCATCAATCCGGCTCTGGGCAGATCTAGAACATGTATAACCTTACAAAGAAGTAGCCAATCCCACCATCAACCAGATTTAAATTGTGTTGGAATAAGTGGATTTCCATATAACAATTACAACATAAGTCAAAATTAATGCGAATCGTGTACGAACATACTATCAAACATTGATGATGATTTATTTATTTATCTTGATGAAAACGGTTTCAAAAATCCTCACAGTTCATCCCAAAAATCAAATCGCTAGTATGTTCTTAAAAACAAAAGCCTCAAATAGCAAATTTCAGAAAAAACCACAATGACGTTCGACAGAAAACCTTCATCAAAATCGAGCTTCCAAAGAATCTCTTATCAGTAGCGAACGAAACCCCGGAAGAATTACTAATCAGTGACAACTGTTTTAAATGAATAAGTTGAAGATTAGATACAATTGGGATAATGTCGACGACGACGAAGCGAAAGATGTCTATGACACTGAATATGATAAAACTTTTGATTTCTGGAGAGAACAAGAGAATTCCTTATTGTTGCCCCAAGTTCCCTATCATTGGCCACAAAGTTTATAAATGCAATAAGAAATCTTTTGGACGATGAATCTTCAGTTGTAGCTTATTAGCTTGATGCTATAATCCCAAACAACAGTTACATTATACAAGTAATAAAAGTAGTCCAAGTGATTGATTTTCCCAATTTTTTTCAACTGCAGCATTCTTTATAATAATCCATGGATGAGGTCGTATATCCCTGGTGCGCTTTACGGAATCACTAGAGGCATAGTGGCTAACATGGTGGAGACCCTAGCTACCCTTTCTCCCCTATCCCAAAGTTCTAGTTAGGATAAAATCGTCAGTTCGGGGACTGTTTAGACCCGCGCCCCTATCCCTTTCTTTCCTGAACCAATCTCTAAATACCCCGAAAATAAGTCATCTTCTGTCCCTCTTTATTCCTGTCTGCGTCCAGTATGTCTAGCACTAGCTCTTTAAGCTTTTCATTCTGTATCTCCTCTCCTACATGCTGATTGTTACTTTCTTCAGTACCTCCTAATTCCTAACCTTTTTGGGCAGAGATTTATCCTCGGACCTCGGAACATATACTTTAAAAAATCTTTTTCGAATCCAAATTAACCAGTCGTTTGTTCTTTGTTTTATGTCTTTGTCCCTTTTTCCATCTTAAGTAATTTGACTTCTCGAATATTATTGCTTAAGGTTTACTTATTTGCATGTTTGAAATTTTGATTCACATCAGCTACTTTTGTTAAATTGGTGATCATGAACCTAATACTATTTAATTATTTATAGATGTGATTTTTGTTTATATTTTAAATTCGTCAATTTTTGTATGTTAGTCATAGCTAGTTCGAAATCCGATGAGCTTTCAACAGCGCAAGCGGCGGACTTTATTGCCCTTAACTAAGACTGGAAACCAGAGTTCATGGCATTCTAAACTACCTCTACTATCTATAAGTAACAACAAACATCTCCAAGAAAGGCTAAGGAATTGATTTGGTATAGATTACTAATGAATATTTCGATTGTAAAAATAAGACAATTATTACTCTAATAAGGGGTAATAAAAGTGATGATCCATAACCTACTGTTATCGTTTCACATTGTTTGTTTAAAGGTGCTTCCTTTTTCCTACCTATAAATTAAGTTTCATGTAACAGATACGTTTATAAATACGCGCTTAGAATGTACGCGTACGTAAATAGTCCAAATGGAAACTTCAAAAGAATTTCTCTCTCTTCTCGATACAAAACATTTAGAATATTTAAACGGGAATCTAATTGAGGACAACTGTATATGTACACATGCTAAAATTAAGAAAACCAAAATTTGACGTCAGGTATCAAGCGATTTGGTAGATCATACAGGAGGCCTAAAGGTCTAAAATTCAAACGCTACAGTATGCATAGAAATTCGTTGAAATCGGTCTATAAATAAATTGCATTTTATTTAATTAATTAGATGGCTGAAACAAAAGAGGGTAATAAATTTTAATCGGGAAAATCCTGAAAAATATTTATTATATGATTCCATCTAATTCCAGGATCATCTGGATGGAATTTCTACTTCATACATACCCTGCGTATACTGCAGAGAGAGCTAGGATGATCAATTTTCATCAATTGGGTTTGTTATTAGTTTGATTCTTTAATAAAAGCTGTTCATAAATTCTAAAAACTTTACAAATAAAAGAAAAAAAATACAACATGTAATTATACAACACGCTACTGAAGTGAAATTTCTTCAAACACACAAACATACCGTGATAGGGGTTATGGAATTGGTTTGATGGTATTATTTGTACACTATGAATTTAAATGTTACACTATACATGTCGGAGTTGCCTGTAACGAACGTTGCATTGAAGCGCGCTTACGTCTCCACCGATCCCCACTACGAACTCCACTACGTGACCGAGTAGAGGGGGGTAATCCGTTGCATGATTTCGTTACATAGCAACCCGCATGAAACGAGTTAAATGTTTTGATTATTCAAGATTATGTACTTCTTTAATAGTAATTGAAATTTCATTCAACTTCTGCTTCCTTACCATAAATTAAATGTATCTACTTTTAAAACATAAAATTCTATAATACTTATAGATATAAACAACATTATAAAATGGAAAATATTATTACACTTAACTAAAGACACATGTTCTAGTATACCTAATACGATCGGGTTAATAAATTAGTATTTTTTTATAGTATCATAATTAAAAGACTCAGTACATAATACGTATGAGTTGGTCTTTGTGTTTGCACTTAATGCAGCGTAGTCTGAGGTCAGCAAGGCTAATGCGATATATATTCCGTTTATAAATTCTATATGAGCGCAAAACAATCAAGGACGAAAGTTTATGAATATAGCGTACTCTGCGCCAAAGTTAACAAACAATGACATGCAACTGATTGACATCCCGTCTGAAAAAAAAAGCGAATACTGGCTTTGTTACAGAAGAAAAAGGTTCTGTGTAGTCGCAAGAATTTGTGTTAATAACCTAAATACTTAATAATAATAAAAACGTTGGGCTTACTTATAAAATTTTCTTCATTTTTGACAAGTAAAGTAAACTCGTTCGCGTTTGTTTTGCCAGGGAACATAAAGAAAAATGTTTTTGCTAACTTTTTTCGTTTATTTGTATAATACACCACGTTTACAGAAATCTTTCGGTATAGGTCTAGATGATGGCCCCTACCCCCTTCGGGGGTACGGATAGAGGGGATCGAAAGAGGAGGTCTCCCCCACCACTGTACCATAACAAGTTCATGGCGGTCTCACCCCCCATAAAAAGTTATAGGGTTTCAAAGTTAATAAATATGCCAATTTTTATACATTTCTAGGCATGTAAATATTTATATAGCCATTCTTAAACAATATTCAAAGGTAAAACTAATGAAAAATACATAAAAATATTGTGAAAGTTATATAAAACATTATTTAAATATCTTTATNATTTGTTTAGCAGTCTACTTTATTATTTTAAGCATACATTAATTTTCTGCTTAAAATTTCCCGCTTTTTTGTTGTGTCCCAAATTTCGCCTTTTTGTACAGTCTTCTTATGCCTAACTCTAATTTAATACGTGTTTATTACGTATTTCCGGTTTGGTTGAATATGCCTTTGCGTTTCCACAAAATTTTGTTATTATTTCATACATTTTTGTATCTATAACGTAATAGAAGTTGTAGAAAAGTAGAAGGCGGTTTTAACCGTAGCCATTTCTAAAGGTAATTGTTAAAAACAGAAAAAAAAAGCTTGAAAATAATGGTAACAATGTACGAAATACTTGTAGGTACAGTGTTAGAACTCCACAACCTTTAACAATTTTACTTTTAGTCATTTTCGAAAATTAAACGTCATATGACATGGACACCGTAAAAACTATTCTCAATCGGGTGTGTCCAGAAAATTTACCCAAATTGTTGTCGATTCGGTTTTTAATTTTTGTAACAACTAAATTACTGACTTAAATGAGTTAATCAGAAGTTAATAAATCATTCATAAAAACAAAAAGGAAAGCTGTCAGATGTTATTTACATTAATCAACGAACTGACCTTTTGTCTGATGGGTGCTACCGCTAACAAATTATGATATTAACAAATATATTATATTGTTACACTAATTCTGGATTCACAATTGCTACGCGAGTAAATGCTACAAATAGATGTTGACTTTTTGTCTACTATTTTTTTTTGCTATATAATAATTAGTGTTACATCTTTGCTCTAGCATCTACATACTTTTTATGCACTTTATCTATTAAACATCAACAATAGACTTTTTGGTAATTATAAAACCAAATCATAATGAATTACATTACTTTATACCTGTGTATTTACAGAACAATAACATTTATCTTTGAGGTTCAAATTTTGCAATTTAAATCAGCGCTAGAATGTTATTGCTGATTTAAAAACAAAACAAAACAAAGGAAAAATGTTTTCAATTATTTTTTTGTTAAGCGTAAGTAAAAATGTATAAAAACGTTATAATCCAAAAGGATATCACTCAAAGATTTTGGACTTTTTTTTTAATCAAATTGCAGTTTTAGGATAAAAAATCTGAAAATTGTTTAATTTATATTTTACCTATTGTAACCTAAGCGTTACATTTACATATATCTTTATGTTTACATTACGTAAATATTTGTCAGTCCTATCATTCCAATAATTATTAAAGAACTTAAAAACACTATTAAATTATTACTAAACTTAGGTTATGAATTATTCTATTTATTTACACTACTGTTGATATATTACTATTCAGTGCGCTATTCATTTCACTTCTATCACTGACAATTTATTTCTGGATTCACTTCTGCAACGCTCAATTTATTTCTACTTCTTTCGTCGATCGTCTCTTCCTTTAAATACTCTTTTGTTTACTTTCGGGAACCTTCTGGAAACACCGGATAGCTTATATTTTTCTTTGAACTTTTTAACTGCTTTCCCAGAACGCAGGTACGACACACACGTTTACAGATACGGTGCACATGAAGAAAGGCGCCTGCGGCTGTTCAGCGAATCGATAAGCCGTTCACGCACACGTGTGCCCGATTGCATACAAACACACTCGTGCTCGCTACAGTATTTTATTTCCAGACACAGTTTCGGATGATGAAAATTTGTAGACTTATTAAAAAAACAAAGCTTTAGGTACTTACTGTGTCTTGAATCGAAGAGGGACTAAATCAAAGATTAGAAAAATAAAATGATGCATTTATTGAAAACTGAAGTTACATTATTATTTTTGTAATTAATGACATCATTCATTAAAGAAACGCTAAATATACAATACATCATAGTGTAGTAAAAGCGTGCTTGAAAATTTTGTTTATGGGTAGGTACTACTTACTGTATTAGCTTAATTTCAGCGAAACATTTATTTTTTTCTGTTTGTATTTACTTAATCTATATCACAAACATACAAACTAAGTTGCACTTTTAAAAAAATCTTAAACTTTACTTTGGTCATTTTAAAAAACGGACATAGGTTAATACAGATACACCATACATAAGTATTATATTATTTTCTTATCAGCCTTGCAACGAATATTCTCCAACAATTATCATCCGGTTTTTGGCCTCATTGGCAATTATTTTCCATTTAGCCAAATACCGAATACCTACTTCAATGTTTGTTTTCCAAAAACAATTAACTTACTGTTTTTTTTTTTATAATATGAGATCATAAAATTATTCTATTGGAATAATTATTCTAATTATATATAAATAAGCAATTCAGAATTATAAAAGTAAAAAAGTATATAATTAATTAAGAAATTAATTTTACCAATACCACTGTTTAGTGAACACCTAAGAAAAAGCTAGTTATTAATAATTCATTTCTATAAAATGAGCCCAATTAGAAATAATTAAAAGTACATAATTTTCGCACTTTTGTAATAAATATTTCACATAATGCTTTGTGATACAAAAAATAGTCGAAATTACAGCATTCTAGATCGAGCACACTGTATTCGTTGCAAATTTACTTATTATGCATTTTATTTTAATGCAACGTGTAGATAAATTTTAATTAAAAGACAAATTCAACCACTTTCTTCCTATTCTACTTTTAATTCGGGACAGCAAAAAAAAGTGGCTAGAGCCCATTGCAGCTTTGAAAGCTTGGGCAGCTGAAACAACGGTGCATTTGTTTAGCAGTCTACTTTATTATTTTAAGCATACATTAATTTTCTGCTTAAAATTTCCCGCTTTTTTGTTGTGTCCCAAATTTCGCCTTTTTGTACAGTCTTCTTATGCCTAACTCTAATTTAATACGTGTTTATTACGTATTTCCGGTTTGGTTGAATATGCCTTTGCGTTTCCACAAAATTTTGTTATTATTTCATACATTTTTGTATCTATAACGTAATAGAAGTTGTAGAAAAGTAGAAGGCGGTTTTAACCGTAGCCATTTCTAAAGGTAATTGTTAAAAACAGAAAAAAAAAGCTTGAAAATAATGGTAACAATGTACGAAATACTTGTAGGTACAGTGTTAGAACTCCACAACCTTTAACAATTTTACTTTTAGTCATTTTCGAAAATTAAACGTCATATGACATGGACACCGTAAAAACTATTCTCAATCGGGTGTGTCCAGAAAATTTACCCAAATTGTTGTCGATTCGGTTTTTAATTTTTGTAACAACTAAATTACTGACTTAAATGAGTTAATCAGAAGTTAATAAATCATTCATAAAAACAAAAAGGAAAGCTGTCAGATGTTATTTACATTAATCAACGAACTGACCTTTTGTCTGATGGGTGCTACCGCTAACAAATTATGATATTAACAAATATATTATATTGTTACACTAATTCTGGATTCACAATTGCTACGCGAGTAAATGCTACAAATAGATGTTGACTTTTTGTCTACTATTTTTTTTTGCTATATAATAATTAGTGTTACATCTTTGCTCTAGCATCTACATACTTTTTATGCACTTTATCTATTAAACATCAACAATAGACTTTTTGGTAATTATAAAACCAAATCATAATGAATTACATTACTTTATACCTGTGTATTTACAGAACAATAACATTTATCTTTGAGGTTCAAATTTTGCAATTTAAATCAGCGCTAGAATGTTATTGCTGATTTAAAAACAAAACAAAACAAAGGAAAAATGTTTTCAATTATTTTTTTGTTAAGCGTAAGTAAAAATGTATAAAAACGTTATAATCCAAAAGGATATCACTCAAAGATTTTGGACTTTTTTTTTAATCAAATTGCAGTTTTAGGATAAAAAATCTGAAAATTGTTTAATTTATATTTTACCTATTGTAACCTAAGCGTTACATTTACATATATCTTTATGTTTACATTACGTAAATATTTGTCAGTCCTATCACATTAAGCTAAATGTTGTACACGAATTCTGGACACTGTCCACAACTTAAAATAAGATGCCTTAGGGATGGTAGAGTACCTCGTACATTTAATTGCTATTTAACTAACCATTATTTTTATACGTAAGTAAGACTACGTTTTTGGTGTAGGTATTTGTTGTTATTTTGTATTTCGTTAATGTCAGCACATCGATATTTTCAATTGCCAGACTACAGAAAATTCTTTAAACGATAGCTAAATGGGTTACTGTTTATGTAACTGTAATAATAATTAGTTAACGAATTTATTGGTATTATTCGCGTAATTTGTGCCAATCGGCTATTTGCCTCCTTGGCGAATTACAAACCTCGTTCCAATGGTGAAGGGCACTGCCAGTGCACTTGGGTCCGCCCAATTCTAACCTTCCTATAACCTGGAAAGACAAAAAAATTTAGTGGTCCTTCGAGCCGGATCATTCGAAAATGTCGACGTAGGTAGATTTAATCGATAAAATTGTTGATTTTATGTTTATGATTCGTACTTACTTCATTTTTGGTGACCCTATCCCAGTCAAGGAGTAAGAACTCTAAACTAACGTTGGTCAATTCTTCGCCGCCAGACGGAATATCAAAAACAAAACTTTCGTTAAAGACAGGACTCAGTGTTCTCTTCTTAACGTGAGTCTTTTTCTTTGCGATGCGCTGACCATTATAAAGGAGATAAATCTTGACGTAGGGATCAGCCAAACCTGTTACGTCCATTTTCGGGAGATTGCGAGCCTTCAGGACGACAACAGTTAACCTATTAGCAGCAGGCTGCCAGCACAAGGACACAAGTAATTCGCCACGTCCTTGGGATCGAATCTACAATCACAAATATGTTGATGACGCTAATTTTGTGTCAAGGCTTCAAGATTGGTATTTATGTAGTGGGTAGGGGGTAAATAAAAGTAACGCACCCGGGTGTTTTGTTATTACGCACCTTTAGACTGCGAGGTTGAATTTCTCTGCACAAGGCGATTTGCTGATTTTCAGCCTGATTGATGTCGATTGAGTTCAAAGCACAAAACACTTCACCGATTATGTCGTCTCGAGAATATCTGCAAATATTGAAAGGAAATGTTTATGACAAAATTCCCTGATGGAATTGGAAGCTTTATGCCCTTTTTATTTGTTCGGTTATTTCTTTTTCTGTGATAATCAGTAATTCTTTGTCCTCTTTTGATTCACGCAACGTATAAAATGATAAATTACCTGTCGAAGCTGAGAACAACGAAATGGAGTGTGATACTGGGCAGCTGGTTGTAATTGATGCCGTAGAAGGTGAAATCTTCATCATAAACGGGATTGCGGGTCTTTCTGAGTACCCTAGTTTTGACTTTGTGCTGTTTGTCGGGAAGCAGTTGTAACTTGACGTAGGGATCGCTTGAACCGACGCTGGGATCCTTTGCAGGAAGGTCCCGGCATCTCACTACTGATACTATAAGAGCATTCTTATCGTGCTTGTATCTGTAATATACCAAATATTGATAGAATCGACTAAGAAAAAGCTGCAGAAAAGTTAAAAAAGTAGCTAATAATAAAATAATATCTACGAAGGAAATGAATTAGAAACATTTCTGTAGTAAATATTATGCTTTCATTGTTCTAATAAAGAGTACAGGTATACTTCGTTTAGTTTCTGTAGCGATGTGACCTTCAGTTTGACCGGCGCAAAGTAGAAAAGAACAGCACTAGGCCAGAAAAGGAAGGAGACAACTCTCGGCCAAACTCTTAACCGGTGAGGAACGTATATCCGTACAGTACTGTACGGAAAAGTTGACCATTTTATCCACTACAATTGCATTGCTCAAATGTGCTGTTATTGGTACCATTTACTATTGAAAATGTCAAAAAGATGTTTATTTATATTTGAAGACATATTAAAGACTTTAACGCTTGTTTTCGACTCGCACTACTATTCATGATTGAACAAAACTTTTGGCAGGTACTGTATGAAAAGGTTGTTTAATGAACAAGAGTCGAGAGTATAATGAGCTTTTTTCTCCCTACCCACGATTTTGAAAGCGCGCATTCAAAACATTGGAAGGGACACATCGCTAGAGAAAGTAAATGAAGTATACGTATAAATTAGACGAGAGTTGTAATAAAGACTTGCTGGTTGGTCAAATAAAGCAGATTGGAAATCAAACGATTTTACCATTTTAGTTAGAGGTTAGAAGGTTTTACCAGATTCCAAATTGCTTTGAATTATGGTAGCGATCACAAAATGTTGCACACACCTGACTAGAATTTTGAGGGGCGTGAAGGTAGGGTCCTTAACACTAGCTTTTGTGGGCCCTATGAGGTTGCCCCCTAGGGCAAGGAAGGGGTATATAATGCCTTACCGCATTAGCGCATCATCAAAAATGCCGCATGTGGCCTCCGCAGGGAAAAATTATTGCTACCCCATTAAAAATTTTTGGAAAAATGAACTTTATTATTAATAAAAAACATACAATATACTCATATATCACTATTTGTAAAGTTTGTTTACTTTTAAGTAAGATTGTGTTATTGAGCTGTTTTGGTAGTCAATAATACTTTAAATTGTAATCGTTTTACTGTTGTTCGACCCGATACGTCTGGTTTGAGTTGTTTTATAATAACAATATCAGGAGGTTGTTGGTTCGTTACAATGTAAAAGATTTCATTGAAACTACGACATAATTGGGCAAACGAATTATTAGTTGTTTCATTTTACTGAGAGTATTTTCAAACGGATTTGCCTCATCGAGCCGACACAAAGTAGATTTAATTGTATGTTTATATATGTGATAGGTTTACCCCTTAAGACCCATATGTAAAACCCATAAGGCAATCCTCATTTTAGTATCACTACTTTTTTTGTGGGATCTTGAAATGTTATCAAAATAGTGCTTGGGACTAGGTTTTTATCAAATTGGTTTTTATAAAATATCTTTTAAATAGTCAATACTTAATATGATAATAATTTTGGCAAAAGAGACCATGAAAAATTCGCTTTAAGGTTTTTCCATGTCGCAAAATATATAGAATATTTAAACGATTGTCATTGTAAGTATACTTTGTTAAAAAGGTCTTACCTTAATTTAAATACCAATTGACCCAAATATGACTGGTTTTGCTGTAAATTCTTCTCGTTAATGTCCTGTTCTTCCTTAGTCGGTGTTTGGGTTTCGCTTTCTGATTTGTATGCGTCTTTTTGCGACGAGGTCTCGTTCTTCTCAGTGCAAGACTCGTATTTGTTTCCGCTGCTTTCCGAGGGCGCCACGCTTCCTGTAGGACTTGGACTGCTCGGACCTGACAGCTAGCACGTTTAATTAATTAAATTAGGACACTTGTTCGGGTTATTACAGCGATAAACTACAGCGAAGTTTACGTTATTGCGAACCTTAAGTTGTGGATCCGTTTAATTACCATTTGCGTAGAATCTCATTAACAGTCTCGGTTAATAAAAACATGAAAGGGATTGCATTGAATATATAAACAGGACGGTTGAGGATGTCAATAAATAAACATTGAGATTGTTGTTATGAATATCAAAGGCAAATTTGAAAATATTATTCTGAAAATTGATTTACCCACTACACGCTACCTCAAATTAATGAGGGAAAAATTGTTCCTGTTGTCACACCCCCGCCGGGAATCGAACCCGGGACCTATGGTTTTACGCACCAATGTTCTGACCACTAAACTACGGTCCTGGTCGTGGTTGCTGTTGTCACCTCTCGTAGTTTAGTGGTAGAACATTGGTGCGTAAAGCCAAAGGTCCCGGGTTCGATTCCCGGCGGGGGTTCGACAAAAGCTACAATTTTTCCTTCATTAATTCGAGGTAGCGTGTAGTGGGTAAAAAATTCAATAATGAATTTTCAGAATAATATTTCATATTAAACTAACTCACTTGTCTAAACTGTATGTATGTTTAAAGGCAAATTTGTTGAATTTTGTAAGCACGTAAACAACATAAAACAGAAAGTGGATGGACATGATTTTAATCCTTGAAGACGATAACGAATTGGCATTTTTGGATTTTCATCAATACTTTTGGACGACAAGATCAATCGCTTTAATAACCAATAACCGATGCCTTGTTTTGTGACATAAGACTTCTTAAATAGGGTTATAAATAAAATTCAATACACTTAGTTTAGAATTATATTAAGCAAAAATTAAACTGTACTGATTGCATTGCAGCTCTGGATGAAGCTTTATACCAAAATGCGAAACGTCGGTTGTTAGTTTGCTACTTTTTACCACTAGTTTATAATGATAATCACAATTTGAAAAATTCATATTTAATATCGCTTTAAAGTGTTTAAAAAAATAAAACCTGACTACGTGTAATTACTTTATTTACTTTTATCGATTAGAATTTAAATTATATTGTTTTTCTGTAGTGTTGTTAGTTTATTTTGAAACTCAATTAAATTAACGCAATCAAAGCAAAACTTTGTGAAACAGGCTAAGTGTTTTCATATTCTAAAACTCCCTATTTAGAAATATGTCGTAACTAACGGGGTACAAAAGGTTCGCTGTTTTTATGATGTTCGGTGTTAGTCTTCGTATATATTTTCGTTTTATGAAGTGGACACCGTCGTAAGCAATAAACAAAAAAAAAAAAGAACGATCGATTCATCTCATGCTGTTGAAGCACGTCGTTAACTAAATGAGTTTTTCCTGTTCTTCATAAACATCCCAAAGTTACCTGTTGTGAAACATCTTTTTAGCGAGTACCTATAGGTAGTTGTTGACGTTTCGCTTTTGTTATTCACTTGCTTTAGAGGTAATTAGATATTATTGTTTATTTGAAATAGTGAATAAATGACGATAGCGTATATTTTGTTTCTCAAACATTGTATGCAAAATACCATCATAAAGAATCGCCATTTATAATAAAATGGGAAATTTTAAATTTTGGTGGAGGCGCTTGGCTTTACCGGTAATGATGAATGATGCACAAATGTTAATCAAATTCTCTCTGTCACGTCTCATGTCCTTAAATTACGAAGATCCGATAATTTATTTAATTAACTCATATATTTTAGGCACTTCTTCTAAACACTTCAAATGATAGATGCCTTTTGATTTTCAATATTTCGTCGATAGCTGTCGCATATTTTTCCATTGGTTCTGTCAGATAATGATTTGATAATAATTTACGTACCCCTGGTGGTGTTTTCGATGGGTTTGTGGGACTGGGACTCTTTTTGAGATAATGGGTGGTAGTTCCTCCCGCAGGACTTCTAACTGCTGTTGGCCTACGGTGGGTGTGGAAAGCTAGAGGTTGATCAGGACCGTGTCGCTTGGCATTCAATTGCCGATGACGACGATAAAAAAAGCATGATATTGCAGCCAAACAGAGCACGAATATCCCTGCGCCAAGACATAATCCAACAACTGTTGCTGAATGGACTGCAAAAGGAAAACAAATATTTCGAATTTAATATTGTAACTCATTGTAGAACAAATAAAATAGCTCAAACCTCAACGCCAAAACACGACACTTCAATTGTCCGAAGCATTTTTCGGTAACATAATTACCTCCTTCAGGGACTGAAAAGTGCCGAAAAGTGCTTCGGACAAATAAAGTGTCGTATTTTAGTGTTGGGGTTTGAGATATTTTGTTTGTTCTACAACAACCGCCAAAGTTTTTCAAATCTTCATAAGATAAATGAGCATCACACTTGCTATTATTGGTTCACGTTTGAATGGAAGTGTCGTGTGTTATGGCATTGGGGTTTGAGATATTTTGTTTGTTCTACAACAATCGCCAAAGTTTTTCCAATCTTCATAAGATAAATGAGCATCAGTATAAAAATACTTAATATCAACTTCCATAATTTAATTGTCCTAAATGACATTAGTATATTTTTAATCCTTTATGCTTGCCAATTTAATAATTGTCAAGCTATATTAGATATATTTTCATTATCATCATAATGGGGCGTCAGTTTTAAAATTGTTTGGCATGCATATCAACTATTTCCTATTCTGAGTTAATCTTCCCTAAAACTAGAACATCCCACATCCTTAACTATTTGTGAACTCTAATTTTAATCTAGGTCTACCTGTACTCCTCTTAACTCCTGTTTTTGCTTCTAATAAGTCTCTAACTAGCCCTTCATACCTAAGAAGGTGTCCCGTATACGTTTTTAATACTAATTTTATGAAATGTGAAAAAGTAGTGTAAGCAAACGGAAAGCGGAATTTCGAGAATCTTTTTAAGAAAAGCATTATAAATAATAATTAACACAAGAAAATTTGATAGATGGACAAGTATGGAGAACGATAATTTTCATCTGAATAAGTAGATCATCACCACCATAAGATAAGAGAAAATAATTCTGTTTGATTGATGATTTTAACTTCTTTGACTACATGGGTTTACTTTCTGATTAAAATTGTGATTTGCATGTTTTGGTTGTTAATTTTACAAAATTACATCTTCCATTATGTAATGTGATGACAGGTAAAAATGCTGTTTTTTCTTTTTTTTTATTCAGTTGAAAAACTTGAATTGCAAAAATTCTGAATGAAACACTAAAATGGCTAGGAAAAAATTAACAAGAAAAATTGACAAAATAAATAATGAGACACAATTTGTTGCAACTGATTATATAAATAATTTAGTTCCTTTGTCGCCATTGTAGCATATCTTGAAAACGACGCAAAACCGCTTGAAGAATTAGGGTTAAAGTACACTAATAAAAAAAAGTATATCTACTAATTATGTAACTATTAGTTGTTTTATATGCTTGTATTAGAATTATGCCAATTATTATTAACGGTGATACATAGGTCAAAACAAAGACAAGGAACATAAAACATCTTTTAATAATTATAACTTATTAAGGAGTTTAATGTGTATTGACAGACCATAAAATACATAAATAATTAATTCACGCAAAATAATCAACACCAATTTTTTATATAAGGCTGATGTGTCTGCCTGATTAATAATAGTTAATTTGTTATAAGTAATTGGGTAATTTAACATTCACTGAAATGGCGGACTCTAAACAAATTTGAGGTAGGAAATTCCAAGAAATGGGTACAAAAAATGACCAAACATTCGAAACAACAAAAACGTTGATCAAAAAATTACCAAAAGTTTACAATATCTAAGTACTCACAAATAAAATAAACCAGTGAAACATGAAGACACATAATACCTACAAGTTTTTAATTTTTTTAGTTTATAGGTAGTAGCAAATTAGATCTATGCAATATTGTTATTAATTAATAAAAATAAAATTGAAAGTATATTTTTGATTGAAGACGTACACATATATATGCAATTGTTCTTAGTTTCAGGTTGCATATATACATATGTATGTGTATACATGTATGAGTAGTTACGAATCTCATTGATCATAAAATGAAACATGAGTCACGCTTTGACTGCTGAAATTTACCTGGACAAATCTGAATTACAAAATTTTTGAAAACGCCAAAATGACACCGCCACAACTCATTTTTGTCTACCTATAATTGCATGCAACTAAATTAATCAACTATTAAACCTTTAGTAAAACAGTAAAAAGTCTATAAGTAATAAAGCGTAAAGAATTTTAGCTGTTGTTCTAATATAATTAAATAAATAATTTCTTCTAAAGATCTTCCACAAATCTTTCGTGTTTTTAGTTAGAAAAACAATTGAGAGATTAGGCAAAAATGTTTAAAAAAATAAGAAAAATAAAACAACATCGATTACTGAGCGACATTATTGCGACCACCCTTTGGTATTTTCTTAAGCGTAGTTATACGAAACTCACCCCCACTGATGGCTTCAATATGTGGCCCGTTGTCAGTCATTTTTTCGTTTTTACTGTCAATTGTTTATTCACAAAAATTACGTTCAAATGGGGTTTTAACCCCCAGCCGGTTTCAACACCTCTTTATAAGCGATTTAATGTTATGTCTGGCTTGGGGTGTTCAATGATGCCCGCGATGAATCAATAGGGGTAGCGACTGCGTGCTTCTCTTAGATGACGTCATCCGTGAGCGCTGTTTTGACAGAACGCAGTAGGCCATGCCCAAAATTTGATTTAGTTTGATTTGTTTATTAAATTTATGTTGGATAATATACGAACAACAAGCATATATGTATTTACAATTTTCAAGAATTGTGAATGGCAAAAAGTAACCTTTTCACAGGTCAAGGGTAGTGGGTACTTAGACTTAAGAGTTATCAGAAATTACACTTTTTATATTGTGTGGGTTTATAAATTAAAAAGAGAATTTAGTTATGAGTAAATTTTTGCGTTTGTATGAAAATTTCGTCAGGAATTATAAATNTATATATTTACGAGAAGCAGGTAAATGACCTATCACAATAGCTTTCAGTTTTCTGTGGAAGACATCTATGCTTTGTTTAAAATTCAAGTGCTACTAGATGTGAAAATTGTACAAGATCTTAAAAACGTTTTTCTGTTGTACTTGTACTACAAAATATTTCTTAACTTTCTGTGGTATTTTTTGATTTAACAAATATTAAAAATGTTACTAACAACTTAACTGGGGATTATAACTTGGTATCGAAACGAGTTAATGAGTATTAATTTTTTAAACGTATTTCCGCTTCTAGAAAGTGGAAAAAATTCCCGTAGAATGTAAATCTACAAAAAAGCTTCAAGTTCCGATGATGCGAAAGAAAGTTGAGGGCCCCAGGGCCATATGAAGGGACACTCAACCAAAGCATTAATGAACCCACCCAATTCTTCCACTTTTATTTAGGTTATTTTTCAATTATTACCTTACAGGTAATTAGGTACTTACGAATTTAATTGTCGTAATCTCGTGAAAAGTCCTCCTAAAAAGATTCTGAAAATTTTACTTGAACATATTTGTTTACGAAGAAAAGTTGGTGTTTCCATTTAACAAAAGAAAATTGGAGCCTCGAGGACCATATTAAAAGCCAGGTTCAGGTCCTGAATTTAGACAATATTCATCGAATTCTACGACGAGATTTTGGCTTAACAAATTAAATTTGTTTAAACAATTCATTTAGCCATTGCAAAAGGTAAATAAGGTACAATTTGTATAGTGTATAATTTATTGATAATATTTCTTTAGTAGATTCTATACAACAGCGCAATGAAATATACAATATATAATTATTATTACACTTCATTCGGTCAAACGGAACAATTTGTAGGTAAATAATAATAATAATAATAATGATAATTATTTATCGCATACGACGATGGTTAATAGTTACAAATACAGAATTAAAGAGTAACAACTCGCTTTTAAGACACGTGTGCACAGGTTCGTAAGGCACCACATTTTTAGTGACTTATTGTATATGAGGTTCTTATCGTTAGTATCCGGCCAATTCGGCAAATGTGGAGTCCATCTCGTCGGCAAGGGACTTGTATCTGTCCTTGTTGATTCCAAGTTCGTCTATGGGTAAATAATAAAACAAAGAATTATATATTATTTAATATTTCATTAGGATATTTCGTAAAATGACAACAACAGGTGTTTATTTAGGGTACCGTATTTTAGAAAAGTATGGAACCCTAATCAAATCAAATAATTCACGAGTCTATCGATCCACTTGTTTGATTATCATAAGCTGTCATAACTGAACTACCTTTTTTTTCTGAGACATATGGACTGATTAATCATAGGGCGATTAAGAGCATATTTTTTGAAATTTTATTTGGAATACATTTAGAGACATGCTCTTGTCTTTATTTCCAAAAGTATTCAAACAAAATAAACTTTGAGCTAAAGCCCAAATTGTGGTCTATAGTTTCGGAAAAATCCTCAGTTTTCTATTAGCAAGAAGCTTTTGACTTTCCGATCAGTGAAATCTGTTGTTGGATCATTTGACAAAATATATTTCTGTCAATACATGTAACGAAATTAATTAACGAAGAAGAAAATTTTTAGATTACGTTGACCATGCTGTAAATAACAATAATTTAATTTTATGAAAAATAGAACAATTATTAATTATCAATTTTGGACTTGTACTGTGAGACATCACCTAAACGATACCAGGGTTAAACATATTTGAAGACAGTTTTCCAACATACTAACAGACACATTATCACACATTATTTATTCTCACCTTGCTGAAGGAAGTCAATGCATAAGCAGAAATAAAAATTAATAGACTGCTCTAGATGATAGAATAATAAATACAAATTTCCCTAGCTCGAACGTCTAAATGTAAGAGGCAATTAATAATCTCGAGTTAGAGAAATTCAACTTTATTTTTATCCGATGAGATGAGACTTTTAAATGTGAAAAAACACCCTCGCCTCTAAAGGGTGGTGAGATTTTAAATAATGTTTATTATAATTATACAATGTTAGAAAATGCAAATTGATAACAAATAGCCAATAAGGAAAAACGAGAAAGTTAGTGTTAATAAAAGCTTGGTTATTAATTCATGATCCACACAGTAAAATATTAATTAAGTATTATTGTAAATGCAGCTGAAGGGGGATGATCGAAGTTCATTTGTTTTCCGTGAGAGAAGCCATTTCCACGAATGTTTTGTCAATTTCATTCACTACTCCTCTATATTTATTTTTTTCACGTAGTACAAAATCTGTAAAAGAAAACGCCTAAAAAAGTGCTTTTAATACAAAGGACAAAAAAAGTTCACGCGCACGGGACATCATACGTAATTATAGGTTATGCGTTAACATTAGGTAATAAATTATTGTTTTAGCTTTAATATTGTACGAACAAAGACGACGTATACGGAAACCTCGAAATTTCATTTTCGATTCAAAACGAAAAATTGTTATTAAGAATTATTTTAAAACGAATGCAATTATTGTACATACCCAATTGTTTTTGAACTTTTTTCTCTTCCAAAAACACCTGAACTTATGTTTAATATATTTTTTTGAAATCATTTTAAATACTTAATAGTTTTGTTTGAAAATAAAACAGTTTCATGTAATTATAAATACATGATATTTTTCGATGTTCCAATTTCGTTTAGTAATATAATAAATACAAGGGCCGATCATAAAGCCAAAGCATTAGTAAATAATAATTACATCATATTTGTTATGGATGATAAGCGTACAGAAAGGTAAAATAAATATTCTCTACGTTGCAAGATATACAAATGAAAATTAAAAGCAGTTGGCGTCGGTTATTTGTTTGCGGTAAGCGAGGACATTTCAACAAACGTCTTTTCAATCTCATTTACAACCCCCTGGTACTTATTTCTTTCGCGAGCGAGAAAATCTGAAACGGAGAAAATACACCGTAGGAGTTGTCGTCAATCTTTTGAATATTGAATGGATCAGGACTATACAGTGGATGCTGTCTATGGAAAATATAATAACAAATATTTTAGGTTCTTATTTAACCTTTTCATATCAATATATCTCATCTGATTCATCTGTAAAAGAGTTGAAGGGGTTGGAGGGATATTTTTAGGAGTTTTACCTTCTAGTCGGTCGACTTCCTTTTGGAGTTTCTTCACTGTCTTTTCAGCGTATTCAGCACGAGCTTCGGCTTCCTTTAGCTTAACTGTCAGCGATTTGAGGTGGTTTTTGTATTCTTCTACTCTTTGGTTGGCTTTCTCTTCGGATACTTCCAAAGATTTAAGGGAGTTACCGACAACCTAATAGGTTTTACAGACAAATTTAGATTAATCAGTAATTATAATTTTTTTAAACTGAATTAAAATTGTGGGTGAGTAATCCTGACAGTCTAATAATTCAAACAACAGCTGAACTTTTAAAAACTAATAGTATTTTTGAAAACAAAACGGATTATTCAAAACACGTAGGTGGTGTTAGAAAGATACATAGTTTTCTGGAAATAATAGTGTATTTTTGAAGTACGTGCCAAAATAACGGAGAGGCTTTCGAGTAATTTGTAAAAATAGCTGCCCAACTTCCTAAAAATAATTTGTTTCTCTTCTACACTTTAAATATTTTACGGCTGGCACCGTTGGCAACATTTTTTTGATAGTCAAATCAAATTAGATTCGTAAAATTAACGTTCATTAACATTTGAAGTCATGCAATGATATTTTCTAAACACTGGACGCATTTTGATTCTAACTTTTTAGAACTCTAAAATTAATTTTAATATTGCGAAATCTAAAACCTGAATGATACTTATAATATAAGCTCCACATCAAATAATTTGGACATTGGTATTTTTTATTTTAAGTCTGACCTTTAATTCTTCTTCAAGTTCCATGATTTTGGCATCTCCTCCTTTGACACGATCTTCAGCTACTTCAAGTTCGTCTTCAACGAAGGCCAGCTTACGCGATACTTCGTCGGATTTGTTGTCGGCGTCTTCAGCTAACATGCGGGCTTCCTTCAATTGTTGGGTCAATTGATCCATACGTTCTTCGTCTTGGAGGGCGCGGTTCTCCAATACTTTGCACATACTGTCAAAAAATGCAACAATCTTTTTCACTTATGTGATACAGGACGTTAGGAAATAAACTTTACCGTGAGCTTTCGTCGGCAGCTTGGGAAGCTTCAGCAAGTTTCGTTTGGGCAGTGGCAAGACGTTCTTCAGATCTTTCCAAATCTTCTTCAATGGTTTGGACTTTACGGTTGAGGGCGGCTACTTCAGCTTCGGCCTGGTTCAATCAATATATTAATTCTGTTCTTAAAAAACAGGTAAAATTTTTTGCTTACATTGGTAAGAGCTTTTTCTTTTTCTTCCAAGTCCTTGTTGGCTTGCTCCAATTGCCTCTTGCTGCTCTCAAAGTCGCTTTCAACCTGCAGAAGTTTCTTCTGGAGTTCACGAACCTCCTCATTCACCTACAAGAAAATTACCTGTAGTTCTTGTTCTGACTACATTTAATTTACTATCCTAAGTATTGTTACATCGGGTTCTGAAGGATAAATGATAGTTTGTAGGCTGAGATCGGAATCTATAATATTTGTGTGAGACATTTACTTCCACATGATACAAATTGTAGTTCTTTTATGTAATCTTGAATAATAATTGACAATCTTCGCATAATAAACGCCTATTTTACGTATATAAAACGCTAATTAGAACTCTTAATTAGGTACATAGATTTTGGTTAATTTTTGCATATTTGGACCATAGTAATTCATGAATCTTTTTGTAATGAAGCGTTTATAAAAATAAGACGGCTTATTATTGAATATTGGATAATGAAGTAAGTACCTTTTCGGCACGGGCATTGGCATCCTTGGCCTGCCCTTCCATCGCATCAGCTTTGTCCTGTGCATTGTCCTTTTCAAGCTTCATAGCTTGCATTTTCTTCTTGATCGCGTCCATGGTGGCGGTTCTTTTTTGGCTTTTGGCTCACGGATACAAAACTAGAATGGAAAGAAATGTTTTTATACGATTATCGATTAAATAGAGTACAAAATCAATATAAACAAAAGAAATGCGTTTGTGATTAACACAGGAGTTTTAAGCGTCATTAAAGAATTAGTTATAAGGAATTAGTTTATACCTAATGTAATGATTAGATTGGTAATAATCATTCTGTCATTATCATATTAGTGAAAATCCTAACTAATATTATAAATGAGGAAAATGAGTTTGTTTGTTACGATTTCACGCCTCAACTACTCAATCGATCATCATGAAATTTTGTACACACACTGTCAGGGGTACAGAAAAGGACATAGGGTACCTTTAAAAAAAAACTATTTGTGAGAGATCAATAAATTTCTTTTCATCTCGATAATTATTTACTGTGATTCCACGCAATGTATAGAAACCTAGAAAATTAAAAAGTTTTGTCCTGATGATCCTGGTTAGGACTATTTACTAAATTATTATATTTTCGATGATCTTTGATACGTATTTAAGACATTAACGCGAGCGAAGCCGAGGGTAAAATCTAATACCACATAAATTTAGAGTTTGCTGATGAAATACGTTAACTATTAATATCTTTTAATACAAATCGTACATTTTTACTAAAATTTCTTAAATAGAGTTATACCGAAAAAATTATTACACAATGCCCAAAATATTTGTAACTGATACTTCTGTACTGGTTTATCATAGGAAGTTGGAGTGCAATTTTTAATTCAAACGAATTTTTAGTAAAAATTTTTGGGTTCTTATTCTAAGGAGAAAACTACTGGAATATTTTGTGTTTAAAAAACAAATTGAACTTGAGGATTTTTATACTGCTATTAAGCTTAGAACAGACATCAATTGAGATATATTTAGATTTAGCGATTTTTTTATAGTGTTCGAAGGAAAAGCTAATCCACCAATCTACATATTTGTTCCCTTACATTTTTTATGATTAAATTTAGTTTCGTCGGAATTAAACTTCAAACTACTTTCATCATCTATAAAACCTACATTCGTCTGACCCTAAAATAATAAAAATTGGAACTAAAATCGACTTTATATTTACTTAATCACCAACTGCAGAAATAAAAACCGATGACTGTGTCTATATCTCTATATCGTGCCTATACGGGTTTGAAAAAGGCCGTCATTATTTAATAGCAGCTGATGATCCCAGTTGGCCCGAAAATAGCTCGCTCCTAGTTTAGACTGACGGTACATTCCTGCTGACGATGCCACAGGCATTAGCAACAGCAAGTAGCATCTCGCTGGGCAAAACGGCTCGACTCGTATCAACTGTTATTTTGCTGAAGTTGTTAACAGCAGCGGCGAGCCGAAGAGGAGTCAACCGCGAAAACTTGGAAAGAAAAATTAAAGTTGTGTCTGTTTGTGTGTGTGTGTGTGTGTGTGTGTGTGTGTCTGTACATGCAGCACGAACGAAGGCGGTTTTATAAATAGGCTCTCGACCCACATTCGACGAACGACATCAAGGTGCCCATGCACGAAATTCCGAATTTGATAAAATTTAACAATCGACCACGAATTTTGTAGCGTCACCAAAACGTAACTTGATACTTAAGGATTTATCTGTAAAATTATTGGGTTTTTGTTGGATTTTGAGGGCCAGCCAATACAAGGGTCCTTAAGGAACTTTGTTAGCCTAATATTTAGTAATTATAATTGAGATGCAATTGTTACGCTTTGGAAAAACCTCGAAATTGGTTTCTTTAAAAATTTGGCCTAAAATCATATTTACAAGCTTCTGTAGGTTTTACTTTAAGGGTAACAAAAGTGTTATATACTTTGCAGAAATCTCTCGCTGGTGGTTTTTAGTACTTATTATACATGAACTTAGAGCTTTTGCTCTTATATGGCTCATAAAAGATTTAGTGACTTAATACTAAACAAATTATTATCTTTCTACCGCGTTTTAGTTTCTTCTAACATAAAAATCATGAGACAAAAATAATTTTTTCTTTCTATGAAGTTAAATTTTAGATAGAGCTGTGGTTTTGAGATGTAATAAAGGCCATCTCCAATGAAAATTCTTGAAAATTTACATTTTATTATTTGACCAAAAAAGTCATTTTTGTTCTCGTCCTTGTTACGATTACTTTTGAAATAATCCACACGATTAAAATGTTGGCAAATATTAATAGATGAAACCATTTAGTATGTCATTAATATTATAAGTAATTTTTATTTAAAAAAACATTTACAATAAATTGATAATTTCTGCGCCTGGCTCCTCCACCAAATATGAATAAATCAAGTAAATATGTGATATTTCTAAATTTGAAGATATTGTGAAAAACGCTTTAATAGATAAGAATCTTTAATGCTCTTTATATTTGTGCAAATTTTTATACTAATTTAAGAACTAGTTTATAAAATTTACCAAAGACTTTTATTTTCGTTTTTAACTACTAATTTTGGTTAGTACAACAGCTCAAAACAGCAAGTGGTGTGTCTGTCTCAATTTCGAATAGACTTATATCTGGTCATTTACTTAATAAAACTATTTATTGCACTATGCCAAAACTATTTTTTTTTCTGTATGCTACATGCGTATAATAGGTATGTGCGTGCGCGTCATCACTGTGTTGCGAGTGTTTATGAGTAGAAAATCTCTCACTGCACACTATATTTAGAATCATTTTACATGTTCGAATCTTTCTCGAAATTGTTCGGTTTTTGTGTACATTTCACGCGCGTCATTCAAAGACATTTGGAACATTCAAAAAAACAATTCTTTGTAGACCACAATTCACGCAACCAAAAATGATTTTTTTAAAGCAGTTGCCTTTAAAATTAGAAACAAAAAATTGTTGTGTAAGCATTTTCGATTTTCCTTTAGTGTAAAAGCATGACAGGTTGCATAACGCTAACGCTTGTGATGTGCAGATTCAAAAAGCGATCTCCCTACTGTTTTTTTTCTTATATTTTACTTTTTATTTTATTAATTAGCGGTACAAAATTAATCTAAAAACAAACAAAACAAAACAGAAAACGATTTGTTAAAAATGTTAGGTCAACAATTGTCACATAAATGGACCTACCTGTGCCTGAAGGCGATCAGAGGCTGTTACTGTCTTGATAGGAAAGCGTCGGGACGCCGCCACGACGTCCCAGGCCCCACCAAAAATTCTCTTTTCCCCTTCTTCCACACCCAAATGCATTACTAAAGTCTATTACAAGCAGTCATCAAA